TTTCCTCATAAGGCGAGATCTTGCATGGAGCACCAGACAGAGGGCGATTGATGGTTATTTTGTATTTCTTCCATTTCCAAATATTCACACCAACAGTTGTCTCCTTCTCAAAAAGCTTCTTGCTGATGGTCTTGTAGCCCATTCCAGCCTTGTGCAGGTCTACAATTTTGTCTCTGACGTCCTTGGACAGCTCTTTGGTCTTGCCCATGGTGGTGGGAGTGGTTTGAATGGAAGATACACATTCTATGGACTGGTTTCTTTTATTCTCATAACAATATGACATTAGGAGTAATTTCTTAAAGTGACAATCTGATACTTTAAAAGTTCTTAAAGTGATAATTTCACAAAGTGACTAATCTGTGTTCCACTTTGGCACGTAACCAATCTGTGGGAGCCGGAATTCTTGCTGGTTGGTAGGGGATCAAATACTTATTTTACTTACTGAAATGCAAGTCAATTTATAACCTTTATATAACGTGTTTTTCTGGATTTTTTTGTTGATATTCTGTCTCTATCCGTTAAAATAAACCTACCATAAAAATTATAGACCCTTAATTTTTTTGTAAGTGGTCAAACTTACAAAATCAGCAGGGGATCAAATAATTATTTTCCCCACTGTATGTGGTTTCTTGTTGGTTTAAGTCAAAATAAAGCCCATAAAGTCACCATAAAGTCTCTGCAATGCAAGTTTGTGGGACTTTTTATTGTCCACTTGGCAAAAACTGTCAGAAAAAAAAAGATCACTGACTTTTGCCTTAGCAATCAATGTAAACACTTACTTAAACAGATAAACAAGTCAAATGTATTGATCTCATTGTGATTCGGCACAAGAGAAAAGTCCTTTTGTTTTGCCATCTCTCATTATGACAATATAAACGACTCTTATGTGATCTTAAATGTCAACTTAATTAGGTGATCTGATAAATCTGTATAAATGTCTACACTTTTGGTGTCGTGGTGTGCTGACTTCCTCTCATTTTTCTGCTTCAAGTTATTTTTGTCTGAGCACCCACTTTAAGCAATTTGCCAGTGATGTGCGTGCTTGTTTTGTGTTTGCTTAATTAAGTGGACCAACTCTTTACAAATCCCAA